AGATTCTCTCGTAAAACCAGAATAAAAACCACGGCAAGAAAAGGAGAAAGAAAAACAAACATCATTACAAACCCACCACTCACTCCCCACCCCACCCCACTTCCCCCGAGCCTCCACAGGCGTCGTATAAAAGTTCCTACACCTCCCCGGTCCCGCAGGTAAGACGTACGGCTCCACACCCGCTTTTCCATAAACTTTTTCGCGGTCGTGGAGGACGTTCAGGAGATCGGCTTTTACGCCTGCGCCCCAGGTCCAGGGCCAGGGACCGGTGTCGTTGCAGCAGTGGTATTTTGCTGAGAGCTGGGGGGGTGTTAGTTCTGGTGATTTGAGGGGAGGGGAGGGGATGGGCGGGAGGAAGTACGTTTACATCGCGGGACTGGAGGGGGTTGAGGAGGTTGAGGGGTGTGGAGGTTGTCTGTGGGGTGTTAGATTGTGGATTTTGGATTTTGGTGGATGGGGGATGGTGGTTTGGGGTTTGGAGTTGTTTACCAAGGTTGATTGGCAAGAATGCTAAGGAAGAGGGAGGTGCGATATATTTTCCTAATTCTCTGAGAGTTTTCGTCAAAATCCAAGAAACAACAACTTCGTAATCCAAAAGAATATCTCAAAAGTCCCAAAGGTAAATAAATCAGAGAAAACAATTCATGTAAAAAGGAGAATGAACTTATACTAGAAGATTCCAACAAACCCTTTGGAGGAGTAACAAACACACAATTCACCAACAGTGTCATCTGAAACACAACATTCCTATTCACCCTCCCTCAGCAGTGAGTGGTCAAAATGAAGATTGTTGTTTGCCTCAGTTCTGGATAGTTGTGGCTGAGTTGTTAGGTTTGCTGGTTGCTTTGTTTTGTTTGATTGGTTTTGTTTGGTTGTGTTGGTTGGTTGGCTGTGTTACCAACAATTCCTAATATAGAATTTTGATGATGCTTTGCTCCGCCTTGCCTCGCTTAATTGCGAAGGTGTGTACTGCGGACCTTAGGTTATGGTTTGAGTCGCACGATTGGTGCATTTACTAGAAATGGAGAATTGTCATAAGTTGAAATCTTTTATGGGCAGTACTGTTATGTTTGTTGAGAAATATGTATGAGGGGTGGTTGTGTCATGGTTATGTATTTGGCTATCTTAGTAACCCTTAGTATAGGATAGCTTGCGCACCTGACTTTTACTCTTTACAAGTACACCTCTTTTAATGTCTTCTTAAGTGATATACTCTTAAATACCCTCTGGGAACTGGGTTAGGAAATACCAGACACCCGGCGGGCCGACCCGGGGTATAAAACCTTCCCTAACGCGTACTTTTCCTAATACTAACAGTAGCTATCAAACCTTAATTCGTACTAAAGGTATAGTTCTTTACTTGAGTCTTGTTTACGCGTTGACTTATTTATAGGCAGGGGAGGGGGAGAGAGNGGGGGGGGTTATAGGCGTATAATAGAAGTAGAGACTTATAGGGTAGTAAAGTAGGAAAGTACTTATAGAGGTAGGGAGGGAGAGGGGTAAAGTGAAAACGACTAGGTACTTATAGGTAGTTTATAGAGGGAAAGGGAGGGGGAAAGGCTCTATAATATAAATAGATAGCTCGGAACGCTCGGGTTATACTGAAACTCTCTTAAAGGCTAATTACAAGCTATTATCGGTTTCTAAAAGTATATCCTAATTTTTTATACTCGATTCAGTTAGTATTAGGTATTTCCTAATACTATTCCTATTATTTAATATCTAATTAGGCTTGTATTAGGTTTTTCTATATAGTATTAGGAAATATCTAACACCGAGTTCCTAGAGGGATAATAGATTCGAATATAAACTTTTTTTATTACTTCGGTAGTATTTAGGGCCTATTTAAATTAAAAAAAAAGTAGCGATTACATTTAACTTATAATTATTTTTATAATTATACGATATAATCGCTATAAAGAGTTACTAGCTTTTTTTTTTAGATATTATTCGAAATATAATTTACTCTCCGACCTTCGGGCCGTACTTCCGGCGCTAATAATACGGCTCTTTATTTACTATTAACTAGTTAGCTTTACATTGAATTAAATAGTAGTCTCGGTATAATATATAACCTATTGTAACGAATACTCAAACTGGCTAACTAAACTTGGCTGGGTGTTCGCTGGTTGGTATGCTATGATAAGAAGAAGACTATCGGGTTGTCCACTTGGAAGTGAACTCGTTACTTTTATCAAAGATGTCAAACTAATATGATAAGATTGATAACTAAGTTGAGCACGAAGCTGCTATCTAATGGCAGACGTTCCAGTCTTATATAGAACCTTAGTTCTCTTGTGCTAGCTTGCTAGACTCGTCGCTCGGTCGCTGCTAGACTGGTAGACCAGTCGCCCCGTCTAGTGACACATATCACGTGACTATAACCAAAGGAAATCCTTGGATCGCTTAGCTAGTCTAAGCATCCCTATTTGCTATAACTACTCGGATAGTGCTCGACCTGTCAGGGCGCCGCCTGGTCTTCATTCGTCACGTGAACACGTGATTCGTGACAGTAAGGTAAAGCTTAGAAATGTGACGGTTATGGTCACGAGGGCTGGATGTCACATGCTCGCTTAGCGAGGCGCTAGCGCGCACGACCTGTATTTAGAGTCTAAGCATCCCTATTTGCTATAACTACTCGGATAGTGCTCGACCTGTCAGGGCGCCGCCTGGTCTTCATTCGTCACGTGAACACGTGATTCGTGACAGTAAGGTAAAGCTTAGAAATGTGACGGTTATGGTCACGAGGGCTGGATGTCACATGCTCGCTTAGCGAGGCGCTAGCGCGCACGACCTGTATTTAGTTCCCAGCTCACTAGAGCTCTCCTTCTTTCCTCGTCTTTTGTCCTAAGAATAGAGTGTTAATTGTTCTGAGTTCTACCTGAAGCACGTCTGTCACAATAAGCCTAGATAATCCCTTAAATAATCCCGCTAAAATAATCGAATCTAAACAGGCCCTTAATTCTTTACTTATAGAGATATTCTTTATTCTCGAGATACTATTCTTATACCGCGTTCTTATAATAACTCGACTTAGTATCTTAGATAAAGGAGATCGAAGAATCTATCTTAGCTAATATACCGTGTAGTAAATACTCCTAATCTGAGTCCTCCGAGAGGTTCTCGCCTATCCTCGTATTATATGTTCATTGTCTCATTCAAACCACGAGTTTCCTAGCAGAATGAAAATCACGGATCTTAATCTCACGTGAACTCGCAAAACTTTCCTCAACAACACGATGCGATGCTAATGACCACTAAATCTCAAAAACTTTGAAGTTTACTTAAAGGCGATCATTCAGATGAACGCAATCCAACCCCGGCCCGCCCCGCCAGAGCGTTGCGCGCAATTCCGTGAAAGTCTATTTATTTATCTTTGCGAAACGAACTGCCAAAAGGGAACGTCGAGGTGGGAACCTCGAAATATTTAAATGGGGTGCTGAAGTTTCTCGTCGGAACACTTGGAAATCTGGGAAGAAATGAGACGAAGCATAGCCCGGAAAGAGAAGTCCATGGAACAAAAGATTACTTGGTAAGATCGGCAGGACCGAATCTTACTTTTCGTCCAAGAGATGTGAGTAGCCGTGGACCTGTCCACGGGTGGTTAGGTTGGGTAACGGAAGTAGCCCAGATGATCACAGGAATTGTTGGTTGCATTGATGAGAAGAGGGGAAGGTGTGGTGCGTTTCAAAAATATACCCAGGTGAACCCCACGATCCCCGCGGTTTGCCCTTCCCTTCATAGGTATATCGGTAACTGGGATTTTCGGAACGTCGAACCCATCTGATACCACCCAATCGAGTAATCCGGAAGGAGGAGAAAAGGAAAAACAAAGAAATGGCTCGTTTGTAATTATTCTGAGAAGGTGGACACGTACGTGTCCTGTGGTTTCCTGTGGATGGTTATCGCCGCTGTTAGTATGAAACAGTGAAAGGTGGGGGAGGGTTCAATTCTGTCCCTCCATATTCCCAGATCCCAGATCCCCGCCATGTTTATCCAACACCTTTTCTTGGAATTGATTCGTTGATCGATGACGTTTCTTTTTCTTCGTCTGCCCGGAATTTTGAATGGGTTGTGTTTCAGATTGACAGTTTTTGGTGTCTACCTTGCCAGGCGATTTGATATTCTTGTGTAGCAAAGATGATATCGAATACGGAGTCTCAATTTCGGGTGGCGTACATGGACACGTGGTATGATATGCTAGTAGGCGCTCCCATCCCGTGGAAGTGAAAAGGGGTGCAGAGCTGCAGTACATTCAAACGATTTAAACTGTCAAACCAAGCCTTGCCAAGACTGAACCCTTTCGGGTGGCCTTGCTACATCCATGGAATAAGCTTTATGAGACGCCCCTCCCGCCCCTCCCGCCAGTGGTTGTGCTTCCCCGGAAGTTAAAGCGATGGATGGCGTTGTGATACCAGAGAGAGATAGAAAATGATCTGCGATTTTGATTTGTTAGTGGCATGGTCCGTTTGATGACCGGGAGTGAGTTGGATAAGTGAAGCCATCGCATGATTGCATGAGGGCGAGGATGAGCAACCAAACACCCCACGGGCAAGCGGGTGATGTGGTTACTCGCTTGCTGTCGACCGTGACCCGAAGGAGGCAGGAATGCCGAATCTTTCGGGATCGCTGTTATTGGCGGCCAAAATAAGCCGTACCAACAGTACGGATGTACGAGTAGCGAAACCAAGATCCGTGGTCTTTGAGGCTGAAGTTTTTGTGATTGAAATAGATTGTTAGATATCAGATTGACAAATTGCCTACGGGTATTGTGGTTATTTTCATCCAACGCCCCTTCCTGTTTGCGAGGGACAAACGATACCAGCTTTTGTGTGAGAGTGGCAAATCGGAGAGAGGGTTGGGTAAACAATTCGCGTGCTCTTGCACCGTCGTGATCCTCCGCGAGACCCCGAGCGAGTCATTTCTGATTTATCTGATTCTTTTCAAATTGCCGCGATTGAGTAGTCGTAGCTAAGAGACCAGACTACCGGTAGTATTGGATGAACTTCAATTCTACCTTGCAGTACCTGCATAGTGCCTGAAACACAAATTGCCGGTTCAACTTCCTCAATACGACGTTGGACTAGTGCAGCAAGCTGATAGGGTAGGTGCAGCGAGGAGCAGCTTCCTGCGAATGCTTGTCATGCTCATCCAAAGTCGTCAACCCCCCTATCAGGGTTTACCCACTCCTGCCGATCGCCAAGCTGCAACACAACCAACGTTCAGGGGAGGCTGGCAGGGTAGGAGATGGTCAATTTCAACATTGATCCTCTTTGATCAACATTTGATAGGCTGAATCATGGAATATTTTCTACTTCGTCGTAGACGTAATAATAGGATTGGCTCAGGATGAGTAAATCCAAGTTTGTCCATGTAAATCAAGTGCAAGTGCAAGTGGAGACGATTGCCGGGATTCGTCGTCGTGGTTTCCCCTTCACTCTCCACTGTCTCCTCGCGAGTCACCCACTCCATCAATATACGGGCGGGCCCAGGTACGACATCAAAAGCGCTCCTTCCCCCAAAGCCTTGACTCTGGACTCGAGCCGATTCTTCTTCCTCTTCCCTCCCTTTCTGTACACCAAAAGTGGAAGCTACAGAGTGACTTCAGTTGGGCATAAAATCCGTCACTGTAACACCACACCCGTTCTGTTTTGAATTCTTTCCTTTTCTTTCGGCCTCCAAATCCAAGTCCAAATTCACCACTGTTGCTTGCGCGTCCAACTTCATTTCCATTGCAAAAGACAAAACCCCATTTTGATCTGACCTGACGACACTACGACAAAACCACACCACACTCTTTTTTTGAACCGCAACATTTCCAACACTTGCTTCTACAACTATATCCCGAACACCTCTCTCATTATGGGTGTTTCAATGGGCAGCAGATCGAGCAGCAGAAGCCGGCTGAGCCCACGCAGTTCCTTCACCAGAGCCCTTTTTCTTTCAGTCTTCTGTATGGTAGTCGTCCTGTACTCCTACCCATCAACATATACTGCCACCCCACCCACCACGCAAATCGCGTCCTTCCAACCACAAATCATCCAACCCGCCAACCATACAGTCAGCTCATTAGTACATAAATACACCGACTGCTCCCTTGACCCACAAAGGTTCCAAACTTTACAGCAAAGCTATGGTTTGGGAGACAAGATCGAATATGCTCGAAGAATAATCAAGTTTCAACGCCAGGACATTGGTCGCAAGAGTATCACCAAGATTAATGAGGAGTTATTTCCCAAGGGTTTTGACGAGGTCGACGTTCGAAACCCTCCACGCGCCATCACGTGTTTGAAGCCATACGAAGTTCCTGTGCCAGCATCTCCATATCCAACCACCGTGGATGCCTCCGACTTGCTATTCGGTATCTCCACCACATATAAACGATTGACAGACCCCGAAACTGCACCAATACAGGAATGGGCCCATTGGTTGACCGACGGTCATGGAAAGTCAAATGGTGGAGGTTTGGTCTTGCGTTTGGTGGATGCTTCGTCTAGCGAGATTGAGCAGGCTACCAAGCAAATGAAAGCATTTGGTGTTGATGTCAAAGTCTACGCATCCGACAGTAAGATTGAGATGGCTAAGCGTTACTTGTCACTCCTACCAACTCTTTACGAGGACGAATCTCGAAGAAATCGAAAGTACTTGGTCATGTGCGACGATGATACTTTCTTCCCATCCATGCACGCCCTCCTCAACCGACTTTCTGAATACGACTCAACTAAGGAGCTTTACATTGGAACTCTCTCCGAAGATGTCAACAACATTGAACGCCATGGATCTCAAGCTTTTGGTGGTGCTGGAGCTTTCTTCTCTATTCCACTCGCAGAAAAGGTCGCCAAGCACTTTGATGAATGTAGTACTGATGAAAAAATCAACGAGGCAAACACAGGATGGGGACCACAAGGCGATGTTTTACTACGAAAATGTATCAGCGAACATACCGACGTCACTCTTACCATGATTCGAGAACTTCACCAACTTGATATTATGGGAGACCCAGCAGGATTCTACGAGGCAGGCCTCGCACCACTCTCTCTCCACCACTTCAAGGGTGGAATCTGGCACAAAGCCAATCCATATGCAGGAGCACAGGTCATTCATGCATGCGGTGAAGATTGCTTCCTCCAACGATTCCAAACACAAGACGACTTCGTCATCTCCAATGGATTTTCAGTCGCCTACTATCCAGAAGGCATCAACTTCAACCTTCACCAAGCTGAAAAGACCTTCACTGCTGCTCCAGATGATTACGGATGGAACCTCGACTTCATGCTCGGACCTCAACGTAAGGATCTTCTTTGGACTGGACGAAAAGTCGCATGGGAGTTGAAGGAGAGTTTCGTGCAAGAGGATGGCGCAGTGAGACAAACCTACATCCGCAAATCTGATGATGTAAGATGGACATATGGAGAGGGAGGACCAAGAATGTTCGACCGTGATGGAGTCCTGGAGTTGGTTTGGACTTCATGATCTGTTTCTTCATACGATACGAGCCAGCGATGCAACGATACCCTACCATCATTCCGACCATCTTCTCGCCATTGAAAACGGGAACCATATATTTCGAGCCGAACCAACCAGCGGCCGTTTTGGAACAACCTTTTCACTTGTTTTTGGAGACATTGGAGTGTGGATTGCTTTCGTTTGCTTTGCGTTTCCTTTTGTTTCGAGTATTTGTTTAAATAAGGGGTATTTTGTATATATTTCTTTTTTTACACGGTTGTTTGTCTTAGGGCGCTGCAGATGGATGTTCGTACTTGACATCTGTTGTTTGGTGTTTTCAGGGGATATTGATATGATGACAGTACATCATTTACAGCGGCTGAGCTACCAAAGAGCTCTGCGTTGATGTTACATTGTTTTTGAGGCGTTTTGATTTCCTTTATTTTTTTCTTTCTTTGATGTGGAGGGATAGAGTACATATTAGAGACGGTGAAAAGGAAGGCTGACGAGCATTCTTGCTTGAAAGGGGAGGAATCGTTAGTTTCGAGGCCAAGACCTTGGTAGATAGGATACCAAAAAGATACATTTAGTTTATTGTTGTTATTACATGAACGCATGGATGGGATACGGAATAAAATTAGAGTGTGTAGAGAAGTGGAGTTGACTTTCAAAGGGTGGGAAGTTGTAAATACGAACAGGCCGATTCAGATATTCATGATGTTATACTGTGGTACCTACTTCCCTTGGTGTGTGTGTGTGTGTGTGTGTGTGTGTGTGTGTGTGTACTTGAGTGATTTTAAGGAAATTGATTCGTTGATCTGGATTTTGGTGTATAGAAGGAAGGTGGCACGCGTGTATGTAGCTGTTTTTGAGGGTTCTATTAAGAACTTTTTAGTGAGAGCAGAAGGAGGGGTGAGGGTTATAGATTAGGTGGATAAGAAGATAGGTAGGTAAAAGGTAAGGGAAGGGCAAGGGGGTAGGCTATATATTTTTTGGTGCACTTCTACCTGATATTTCTCAGGTAGAGAGCTCTATTTTGTAGGTCGAATGGCACTCATATCGCCCTGCACAGGAATCGGAGTACAAGGCTGCATTGTCAGAGCAGGAATCATTGGTACAGTGTATCTGTCAGGGATTAGTACAAAGGGCGCAGGGGGTGCGCTTTCCAGGTTCTGAGCCAATCAAGCTGTTAACAACCAACTACCAACATATACCCTAGTGCCACACCAAATCATCACGCTTAGTAGTTGTTAGACGGACTTTTCTGGCAATTTTCCATCCTTAATCTTTAAGTGAGGCTCAAAATGTGTATCTTGAAGAGTCTATTCTCCCTCCGGCATAGTAAGAAATTGGTATCGCTACCCAGAACCCCATGTACCACCTCGTCTAAGCTTCTGCCTCTTCGAAACTTCGCCAAAAACATCCAGCTTGTTTCTTTTCAGCAATTTAGCACATCATTACAGGCATGCTTGTTGGGTCAAACTTCGAGTCTGTTGGCCCCAAAATATGCGTCTTCTTCTCGAACTCTTCCATCTACGGGAATCACGAATCCGAATATGTCTACAGAGTACGCGAAGTCGAGAATGTAACCTCATCCAAGTTTTGCAAACGAAAGCTGATTTTTGCACGAACAGTTATACCGCGTCTGACGCATTTTTCGAGGCTTTGTGGGAGGTAAAGATGCCGTTCTTGCTTGTAGTCAATCTTCTAAAGATTTGTAGTCCGGCGTGAAGGCTTGCTTTGTGAACATCGGATTCGACCATCCGAGTCTACTTGAAGCCATGATAAAAGGGCAGAGAGAGGGAAAGAAAACATTCTCTGAGATATACACTTGTCCTACCGAGGTAGGTTACCTATTCAAAATAGGCGTTAATGTGGTCACAACTGACGATATGCTATGTGCAAGATGGTTGCTTATCAATGGCCGATGGCTGGGCTCGCGCAACAGGACAACCCCAATGTGTGATTGTCCACGTAGATGTGGGTACTCAATGCCTTGGAGCAGCTATGCACAATGCAAACACAGGCAGAGTTCCCGTTTTGATTTTTGCCGGCCTATGCCCAGTAAATCTAATATGTCAACTCGTTTTGGGGTTTTTACACCAACCACAATAACCTGATTGACGAAATCAAAGTACACAGAAGAAGGGCTTGAAGGCTCACGTACCGAATATCAGCACTGGCTTCAAGATGCTCCCGATCAGAAAGCCATAGTTGCTGGCTACTACCGATATACCGGGGATTTCCGAACTGGTCGTACGGTGAAATAAACAGTATTCAGGGCGATGAAGATTGCTTCGAGTGACCCGAAAGGCCCAGCATACATTACTGGCGCGCGAGAAGTCCTGGCTGAGAAAACGGAGCAACCCTATAGAATCAATGCTAATATGCATAAAGCAATTGGACCTGCTGCTTTGCCTCAAGATGCCGTTGAAACAATCGTCGAAAGTTTAGTCAAGGCACAAACACCTCTCATTATCACAGGATACTCTGGAAGAATTCATGCTTGTCCAGAACAGCTCGTTAAGCTGGCAGAAGCAATACCAGGCCTACGTATCCTAGACACCGGAGGATGCCATATATGTTTCCCGGCTGATCATCCAAGCTATGTGGGTTTTCGCTTAAGCTTTGAAGAGGTTACTACCAAGGCAGACGTTATCTTGGTACTTGATTGCGATGTCCCGTGGATTCCATCTCGGAATCCTCCCCGTGAAGATGCGAAGATCTACTTCGTTGACGTGGACCCCTTAAATGCCTCTATTGGTTTTTCGTTTCTCCCAGCTAATGGTCGATGGAAAGCAGACGGTTATACTGCAATGGCCCAATTGAATCGCCATCTCTCGTCGACACCGAAACTTCAAAACACTTTGAAAGATGAGATTTACAAACATAGATGGGAAAATCTGCAGAAGATCTATTCAGCCAAAGTGGAGTCACTTTCGAAACTATCCACTCCTGCAACCAATGGATCATTGGATATCCATCACGTCGGTTTTGCCATAAAGACAGCAGTTCCCAAGGATACCATTTTCGTTGTAGAGGCAGCAACATGTGCGATGTCTCTATCTGATCAAATCCAGGCGAATGTCCCAGCAATTTGGATCAACTCAGGGGGTGCGGGACTTGGATGGAGTGGCGGAGCGGCTCTTGGTGTAAAACTAGCTCACAATGCTAGTGGCGCTCCGAAGTTCATCTGCCAGGTTGTTGGTGATGGCTGCTTTCTATTCAGCGAACCAAGCAGCGTGTATTGGATAGCTTCGAGATACAATATCCCTGTGTTGACAATAGTGCTTAACAATAAAGGTAAGTTTGCTAATTTCTTCACTATTCAATGGGAATGAATCACTAACTTCTCATCCTCTGAGGATGGAACGCACCGCGCCGCTCTCACGATCTAGTTCATCCTAAAGGCCTCGGTGCTACCGTAATCAACAAAGAAATGCACATTTCACTGGACCCATCACCAGACTATGGTGGAATTGCCAAGGCTGCAGCAGGAAGTACTTTCGGGGCGACCGGAGAAGGGCTGTTTACCGGAAAAGCCAGGACGGCAGATGAACTGAAACTCTTGCTGGAACAAGCCGTAGCTTCTGTGAAGAGTGGCAAGGGTGCTCTTATTGAAGCTGTCCTGGCGGTCGATGAGAAGGGCGACAGTCTGATACAGAAGTGACTCAAGCTAAAATGCGGGCAATTGATTTGTGCGAAATAGAGAATTTGACTTATTGACATCAACATGGAACATATGAAATCTGCCATGCTGTGTGGTGGCTTGGAAGAGTTGTGTGACTAACCAATATCCGATTGTCTGGGATTGCCACCACGGTATATCGCAAGTTCCCATTCCTGCTTGGTTGGCGATTGTGAGGTTCGAGAGTACACTGTAGAGGAGCAGGGTGGGGGAAAAGCCGAAAAGGGGGGAGGAGAAATATCCAAAGGAGATTGGAAGCAGGAGATACAATCACGAGTACCGGTATAGGGGCCAGCTTCCGTATCTCTCCGCGAAAAGAAAAGAAGCCTGGGAGCGAAGCGACTATTTATTCTAGGTAAGCCGCTCCCATTCCTTGGCGCTTTTCACTAAGCGAGCCACATATTCACCATTCACTCATCCAGATTCCACACGCTTTTAGTACATCACCCATGCACAAACCCTTTCCTGTCGCCGTTCCCGTCGCCACAAAGATCTCAAAAAAAAAAAGAAAAACCCTTCTCCGTCCAAAAATTTACCAAAAAAATCCAACTCCCATCTAAAGAGCGCAGAGGACCTAAAACCAGACGCACCGAGTTTTACATTATTATTTAGCTTATAAGTACTATATATTTTACAAGGCTAGTATAGTAACCTTTGGGCATTTTTCGAATTCCACTAGACCATTGCAGTTGATTAGTAAGTAGGGAGCAAACCCCTCTGGATTGCTCCTCAAGTACTTGAGTACATGGAATATATCGAACACTAATATCACGTTTCAAAAGTGACACCGCGTAGTTGCTCTGAATTTGCTCGTGTCAACTCGCAGCCTCTTGTGTGATTCGGCGGTTGGTCTTTTTCGAACGTTGTTCATAATGTTGATGAATGTTGTAGTTCCGAAAAAATATCTGCTGTATAGTCAAAGTCATGCCAGCATAGCTCATAACTTCTCTCACCAGCGTGAAACCTTGGAACCGACTGGGAGCGGTTATGTACCATAGAGAATGATCACCTTGATCCGCAAGCTTGAGATGCGACACTTGAAGCATGCAGAATATAGCAATCGCTGGGCGTAGATAGATCTGAAACCATCATCAGTCCAGTCTCCAAAAAGAAGGTGTGATTTTTCAATGGCGTACTTACCGACTGAGATCCCTTTCATAAAACTTGCTCATGACCATGATATCGCGACATTGTACCGACAACCACCAACAAAAGCCCAATCAAGCCTCCAAGAACCTCAATCGTAGCAAACAAGAGTACAAAAGGAGTAATACCCGCCGGACAGAACCAGAAGGGGTAAAACCACACCTATCACCTATCCATATACCGTCACGCAGTCAGAAAGCCTGTCCGTCTCCCCATATCGAACATTGACCACACGAAGATATGGAGAAGGGACATTTGGTATGGCCTCGTCCTGCAGTTTCCGACCTCGGTGCATCGGACCTTCTTCAGCTTGAGGATGAGAGTAGGTTTGGGGATGATGATTGATGCGAGAAGGGTGGTGGCTTTTTTTGAAAAAGGAGAGAGGGGTTGAGAATTCAAGTTTGGGTTCGAAATGGTGGGGAGGGGGTGGGTGGTCGTTCCTTCCTTCACAGCAAGAATCCGGGTATACTTACGCGTCGGCTTCCTTAGTACAACCATGAAGGAAGGAGCGCTGCGACGAAAGTTCTACGGTCAGGCTGGTATTTTGTGGTTGGGGATGTGTTTGAATTCCGCGAGCTACTCGAGTTGGGTAAGTTGAGGTCCTAACCCTAGCTCTTAGAAAAAGGTGATATATTGGGCTTTTCTAGCTGGAGAGGTGTCCCCCGGGGGGGGGGCAAGGGAGCAGGGTACATGTATGGCCTGTAAGTAGGCTTATACATGCATCACGCATTATTTATGGCGACGCGGTGACCATTTAATCGATTCCGAAACTTTCCACTATCGGTAGGCAAAACTCACAGTTGGGTCTGGCCGATAGTATCTTTCTCGTACCGAATAATGAGGTATGAAGTCAAACCTTATCAATCATTTTGCCTACCGGGAAGTAAAACTTTAGAGAGTAAGGGATGCGCTATAAGTAAATCGTATGTCGCCCACGATCCACATACATTTCAAGTACATCAGAACGCAATCACAAAAAAAGGAAACCTCGCTTAAATAAAGAGCTCGGACCCTCGAACCCTCGAACCCTCGATTACCACGAAGCTTACCTTCACGCTTACGCTGCTTAGCATCCTCGCTACAGCCTCTACACTATGCGATCCCGAACTCAGTAAGTCATTATTCCATAGCCTCACAGCCCTACCAATGAACACCACGACTGATTTGAAGTAAAGGTCAATGCGGTGGCCCGAAGGATGATGTATGTTGCCAAGGATTAACGTGTAGACGTCTTCCGATCGACCCTGGCAGCCGAAGACTTTGCCGGAAGTAGATTTCTTTCTCATTCTTGTATGAGGTAGGTACTATAACGTACATTCTAATAGGAATCTTTTACTGATGCTAAGATCCTGATAAGATAATCTGGGCAAGAGACGATAGCGAGCTGAGTTGGACTGTGGATGAATATACAGGATGTATACAGTATACATATATACGTCTGCATAGACTCCTCATCGCTACGTGTAAGCCCCCTTGCTTGCAATATTCTTAGTGCGGCATTCCAGATGTAAAATTACTAAAAGGCCAGGAATATTAGTATCGCAAAATCGTGAGAGTCTCTATTGGCAGCAGATATTGTACAGTTGGTTTCCCCTCGTCAGAATCTCAAGGGAGTGGTTGGAGTATTTTCTTTCTACTTTTCTGCAAAACTTCCTCACTTCCTCCCTGCCCAATAAAAATACATAATACTAAAACTTGCTAAACCTCACCCCTTCTATTATCCTCTCCACAGGTTTCTACTCATCAATGGACCAAGACGCACTGCACCGTAAGAGCCTTGGTTTCGCTCATTGCGTTAAAAAAATTCCTCAGGCCTTGCCCCTATTACCCTGTCTCACTTCTTATCCTCCCGCATCTTTACGATCAAACGACCCCGCAGAGAAATATAGGAGCTGCAGACTTTTGACGAAAAGGAGTTCATACTGAAGAACACAAGACTTATCACGAGAGCGATGATGATAGATGATGCCGTATCTTGGGACTTTGAAAATGCCTAGGCGACCGGGAGAAATTGGCGGTGCGTTCTTGGAGCCGTTGTTCGTAAATCTCTTCTATATCCCGTTTAAATGGTGCGCTACAGCTGCTATCATGCAGGTTTTATGAAATGATAATGATTGAGAAAGCTTAGAAAAAGGATACAGTGTAGCCGTAATTTGTGCATCCAAAACAAAACAATCAAGAAACAGCATTTGGTGATTCTCCCTGCCCGTGTAAAGACACATCGTATTTTGATATTACGCATTTCTTCTTTGGCATGAGAGTGTATCGCCTTATTGAGGAAATGTCACATTCTGTGGTATAGATTTGTTAATACAAACCTGCTTTCTTGACACGATGAAACCTGAGTTATCTCCCATCTCCCGGGAATTACATTTAATATCCTACATCTGTGCCTTTACCCCGATTCGTTGTGTTAGCTATACGAGGAATCCGCGTATTGTAGGTTCAAACTGTGTAATCTTACCAGATGTCTTTTTTGGATTTATTGAATTAGTCCGTGTATTTATTTATAGGCAGAGTTGGGTTCATATTTTGTGTATCTTCGAATTTGTAAAATTCGACTATCTTCCCTACTTACGGCATCCCGAATCTACTACTAAACCAGATAACTAAATCGCAAATCGCAAATCGTAAAAGTCTTATATTTACTACTACTACCTACTCTTGTGCCTATACCCCTACACCCCTACCCTCTCTCAAACTTCACAGCCTTGAAATTCTTACGTACACACTCCCTACCCTCGCCATCGCCTACCCTCGCTGTCGTACCCTCGCTGTCGTATAAGGGTTGTGCCCTAGTATGTTGTTTAGAAGAGAGAGGGAGAGGGAGAGAGAGAGAGAGGGTAGCGGAGGGGACAGAAGCGGGCTCGGCGGGGAAATATTTTCGTGCGTGTCGCTTATTCCTAGCCCCTAATACCACCTTCCTAAAGAGGCTAGGCTAGTACGTGTTACTCTAAGAATTGTTTACTACTTGTCTGTCCTGTCTCCCTCTCCTACCTTCTCTTCTCTTTATTTCTAATATAATATTATAATAGCAAGCATCTAAAAGCTAGGTAGAGTAAGAGGGCGTGTAAGAGGGGTAGGGAAGGAGGGGCAGGTGCCTAAGGGGAGCCGCTAGGGGGTATAGGCAGGGGGTACGGCACGTGTGCTACACGTGACTCGCGAGGGACCGTATACGAAAATAGGGGTAAGGAAAGGGGGCGTAAGAGGGTTATAGTAGAGAGGCTATATTATATTACATAGAATACTATAAATTTTACAGACTAATAACTCTGTTCTTTAGCTCTTCCTCCTATATAAAGTGACTTTTACCATTTGCGATTTACGATTTAGTTATCTGGTTTAGTAGTAGATCTGGGATGCCGTACTACTTTCTTTATCTACTTTCTTAGGTCTCAAATACCTTTTCCGACACCATTTCGCCCCCTTCGGACCCTTGGCCGGGACCGCTTTTCACACTGATCAGACGAAGTTTTGGGGGGCTGGAAGGGGGGGGGGTTGGTCCATGTATGTAAGTTATACCAAAGGTTGATATGCTCCAGCCCCCTCCTCGGTTCCCAACCCCTTCACCCCCGAATGTTCAAGTAGTAAGTAAACAGAATCTAATCACACGGCTTTAGGGTACTGAAAGATAGCCTAGAAACGACATCATACGCGTGCAGTGCAGCTTCTATACTCACTAGACGACCTAGATTTCATATGGAATATTTTTCTTTACCCCTTAACATGTTGGTTGTAAGAAAAGGTGATGAGAAAGACGTTGTAGCCATATGAGCGCTTAAACAGGGGTTTAATCAAAATCAAGCTGGCAAAGTAGGATAGTCCGATTTAAATCGCTCGGATGTAATCGCAAAAACGGGGGTGTGACTGGCGTATAAGACGTCTAGTACTATTGCTAGACGTGCGCGTCGAATATGCGAATTACTCGTATACGCCAGCACAACAGCTCAACCCAAGTTTTACAAGTGAACGTGGAGCTCTTTATATACCCACAATCACCAACCACAAGCAAGAAGAGCCAGATCACAATTACATACTGCCGAAACCTTCATACCCTTCATCTGTTGCAACTTCTGCAAACATAGGACTTATCCAAAACATTTCTCCACACTGGGCTGAAATGTCTATAAATCCCTACAGTAGTACCGGAATCTAGATTCGTCCGCTCAAAAAGAGTCATCGCATCCATCAACTCCTTTGACCAACAGAAAGACAAAATCCTAAATATGTAACCACAACAACAATGCGTTGTACCGCCCTGCTGGGTTCTCCCCAGAAAGGCTAGTCAATCCCCTATTTAAGCGAGCTGCCAAACCCGGTCGGACAATACCAAAGTCTTGGTTGGCATAAAGCAACACAGGATCTTGTTCCTGCATCAACAACAATAGTGACGTCAAATTTGGCACGACGATATTTGATATGAGCTTGAGACTGGCCCGTAAATTATTCTGTGATGCTTTAACTCTTAAGAAAGCGAACACGTACACAAACACCCTTACGTATCGGTTTAACGAAAGTTAGATGATTCTTCTGTCAAGAAAATAGGGAAACTCAACTTCCCTTTTGTTGATGTTGGACACGGTGGTGGCTAGGAAAAGCCATGTGCAGAGATTGTGAGGAGAGAGCTTATCCTTTCAAACATTACCACACCAACATGTTCCCACCTCCACCAAGAAGCAACGCAAACTCCGAGGATTGCGAAGATTTCCCGATTAAATTCTTCCATCAAGGCCTCGATATGGAAGAAACGGCGAGGAAATATCCACTCGAAACACCAACAACACCACCGCCTTTCGTCCTCTTCGATGCGTCTGGCGAAGTCAACCCAGATTTGTTGTTGTCAATCGGGGAGGAAGACCCGTCACCAAAAACCCCAACACCAGCACCATTACGGCCGACAATAATAAGAAGCTCGACCGATAAGGGCGTAAACCCTCCATCGCTACCTCCAGTATTTGATTTACCCCCACCGCCACCATTTGTACTCCCACCATTTGAAAAACTTCAAGATGTATCGAATCCTTTCCAAGAGCCAGCAACAGCGCCTCCTTCCTCACAACGTAAACCTAATCTACCCCGCTTCAAAACAAACTCCATACTACCAACAATCCCCCCCACGGCATCCGACCTTCCGCCGACTCCATCCTCTCTTGCACCCCTCCATCTCACTGGGCTGTTACAGGAAGTCTTGTCGATAATGAACACCATAATGGGCCAACAATCCATCGTGCAAGAAGAGGATGATCTACTTCAGGATTTGACGGAACTTGTTGTCATCATGCAAGATGAAGCGGAAGCTCTGGTAAACATGGCAGATCTGGTAGAGGAGTATGTGGAAGAAGTCGAAGCCGCTGAGATGAGGGAGTGGATAGAGGAGTTAGATTTGGAGGGGTCGATCAATGCCGATACTGGCGTAAACAAATCACCAGTAATGAAGGGAAGTGAGAGATGGAAAAGGGAGGGGCAAGATTTAAAAACGAGGAGGAGACACGAGAGAGGAGATTCCGGGATAGAACTCGATTCGTCCGAGTCGGAAGTCGATCCCTCGCGCAATTTCCAAATAGTTCCCTATCGTGCGCAAAACAGTAATTTGTCCACGCCGACCAAATCAAGGCCCCCTCCAAGGAATCCTGTCACCCCACCGAATAGAAAGATGAATCAAGCACCACAGATCCTATCTCCGAACGTCTTTACACCATTGAAACGAATCCAAACCCAAGCACCGCAAGTTTTGTCCCCGAAAATCTTTACCCCAGCAAATAAGATACAATACCAGCAGGCGTCCCCAAGAAACAGTCAGCGGAGAGTCACTCCTTCCTATGCCCGACCAACGGTAGCTTCGATGAAACATCCATCGAGGGAGAAAATGAGGGTTAAGAAGCCGTCGCAGAATTTTCGCGATTCGGGATTGGGGATGTGGAGTCCGGCGAGGATAAGTCCTAGTTCTTCGAGCGCGAGAAGCTCGAGAACTAATGCGATGAGGCAGAGAACTTTTGAAGCGGAGTGGGTATAGATTACTCTTAGGCAAAAAAAGAGATTGATGTTGGTGGGAGGGGGAATGAAAAATGGCATATGTGAAATGAAGAAAGCGGGGGATCATGTATATATATGACAGCATATTAACGGCTGTTTATATAGAAAAATAAATTAAAGATTTCCAGTAATGCTAGTTAAGATACATTCATGTGCATGCTAGTTAGAGAAGTGCAAGCAAGTAAACCAGAATCCGCATCTGATCTATGCAGCAGCTCTGTTCCGATGTACCCACTATTATTTTTATTGGTCAATAAATTCGATTTATTAACCAATTCGGCGCCAATATCGGCATTTGTAATCTAGCTGTTGGAGTTACTATTATCACTTATTTAGGTAAAATTAAAGCTATTACCACTTTTACTTATTTATGTATATACCTATCCTTTTCTAGCCTTTTCTCCTACCCTAGGCCCTAGTTTAGTATTCGATCTATTCCTTTTTAAAGAAGGAGATTTCTTAATATCTAAGTTCTCTATTCTACCGAGTACCTAAAGGAGTAAAAATAACAAGAACAACTACAGGTACTATAGGTATAGCGGGTAGAGGTATAGATTATAAGGCTAGTATAGCTAGTAAAGTATCTTAATTAGTTATAATATATAGTAAAAAAGAAAGAAGCGAGTTTAGTTTAAATAAAAAAAAGATAGGAAATAGTCTAATATATATAACTTAGGTTATTTTATAAGGATCTAAATTATAATATTCAGAGTGGTATTTGCTATAAATTCGATTTACGAGCCGAACGTTTTTAGTACTTAATACAAATCAGGGCTCGTATCGAGTACTAAACTCCAATTTGTATAGTAGAACCTAGATTTGGATTTAGGATTTTTTTCGAGCCGAATAGGCTGTTAGCTATTTTAGCTCTTACTAGCGCGCACTTCTCGTCTTTATTATGAAGAATACTTCGCTAGACTACTACATTATTGTAACGAATACTCAAACTGGCTAACTAAACTTGGCTGGGTGTTCGCTGGTTGGTATGCTATGATAAGAAGAAGACTATCGGGTTGTTCACTTGGAAGTGAACTCGTTACTTGTATCAAAGATGTCAAACTAATATGATAAGATTGATAACTAAGTTGAGCACGAAGCTCCTATCTAATGGCAGACATGCCAGTCTCATATAGAACCTTCGTTCTCCAAATGTCGTTCTACTCGATCGACGTGCTGCGACAGCTCGCTCGGTCGCGCACAAAGATGTCAAACTAATATGATAAGATTGATAACTAAGTTGAGCACGAAGCTCCTATCTAATGGCAGACATGCCAGTCTCATATAGAACCTTCGTTCTCCAAATGTCGTTCTACTCGATCGACGTGCTGCGACAGCTCGCTCGGTCGCGCTGTCGCGCTTCCATCACGTGACTATGAATACTATGAAATCCTTGGATACTCAACAACCCTGAGTAACCACTGCTATGGTATAACTACTCTGGTTGTATCTGTCCTGTCAGAACGCCGTCTGGACTAACTCGTCGCATGCTAGCACGTGATTCGTGACAATTATAGGTATATCTGAATTAAGCGGTAGTATTTGAGCCACATATGATTTGAAATAAATATATTATCGAGTGTACACTCGATACTCGTCGGGTTCATAAATCTGAATCACCTAATGCCGATGTTGCTTCTACAACTAAAGTTTATATAATACAACTCCTAAATATAACTAAAAGCTACTATATACGCATTATCTAACAGTTATGTGAGGGTTGGAACCCATGATGGAGGCTCGGGCCATGCCCTCGCTAAGCACTGACCAAAGTCCTCGTTAAGCACTGACCAA